AATTTTTTGCAAGTTGAAAAAAAAACTTGACAATTCTAGATAACAAGTTTATTTACCTTTCAGCAAATACATAAGAACTCAAATGCATCAAGCACAGAGATCGTAAAGCAATGAGCTTAAGCAAATCTTATTAGTACTTTCGGATGTGGTGTTAGTTATTTTGAAGTAACATCCCAAGCAAACTTCTCAAAAGAAATCAAAAAACCTAAAAAAGGGAGATATTTTTGTTCTACTTTTCTTAGCAAATCTATTTCAAATGCTTTTTCCTGTTTCAAAATTAACATTGAATACCACAATTAATCTTCAACATTATATTCCAAAAATGTCCTGAAAAAAAGAAATAAAAACACCACTCACAGCACCATCAGTTTCATCTTACACAATGATAATAAGAATAAAAGTCATCGACCTGCTAACCTAAACACTTATCAAGATGTAACCATTGTGTATATCATAGAATACAAGTAATAAAAAAAAGATATAAGATAGAAGGCGAGTTTTATCCAGCCTTCTCTAAGTGCTCTTTGCAGTTCATTCCTATTTAAAATGGTAGTAGGATCATAAATCCCTGGTCCTGACATGATAGGACGTTGAATATACCTAAAAATAAAAGTACAGATTCTGATTCAGCAATACATTAATTTTGAAGGAGAAGTATTAAATATCAGTAAGCAAGTAATGTAGTATAGAATAATGAAAAATTAAATACCTATGAACATGGTAAGCAATTAGTGGTATGTTCCAACAAAGTCCACCAAACTGGAAAGAGAAAGCTAGAAGAGCCGTGGTAATAAAATGAAGCAAGTATTCTGGCACAATTAACTGAAAAAAGTCAAAATTATAAGTGATGAATTTGTAAGAATAAGTTGTGTGCTTGGAAATGATCTGAACTTCGACTCGAAAGCGAATATTACTTTTTCGGCATATTTTATCATGTTTTATTCGCCCAAAACACAAATCCGAACAGATGCTTACAGAAATAATGAAAAAAATTTTTAAGGGCACGTAACCAAATACAATTGAGCTCTAATGCATGTTATTCCAATCTCTTTAATTAAAAGTAAAATAATAGACCTGATTCAAGCTATTACATTGTTCTATCGGATTTTTATAATCAGTCTTCAGCTCATCAACACAAATAACCTGAAATAAATAATTGTTAGACAATTTTAACAAGTACTAAAGTTTCAGACTTGATTTCAAGTCTTCTACAGACATACTGTCAATACAAAACCGTAGGTTCCTAATAGATACAAAGAGGAATTAGATTAACAGAAGACCGCTTTGAAGCAAATTAATTAAAAATTTTCATATGGATTAAAGAATTATTTATGATAACAAGAATAGCAAGAACAAAACTAAGCAGCAGTTATGTCAAAACTTACTAAAAACACAACAAAATTAAGAAGAGATAAAATGAACAGCTACTCCTGAAAGTCACAAAAATGAAAGCTAATGTCATTTTTCCATTTCCTTGTCTGAATTCAAGAAGCTTATATACACCTGTCTCTTTACACAACTGTATCATCTTTCATTACACTGCTTTGTGATACAATTAATTCATATAATACATAAAGATCTCAAGTACAAAATATGCCAATAACTGTTTTAAAAAGTGCAAGAACTTACCGTAAATATGGCAAAGAAAATACAAAATGCTACAGCAAATAGAGCAAAGAGATAACAAAATGCAGTAAATGTAAAAGCCATGCTACGAGTTGCACAAATTCAAGAATCTGAAAGAAGGAGCCAGATGAACAGATCGCTGCCAAGCATAATGTAAGCGTCCAAGTATTAAGTGAAAAACAATTCAACAGAGGCTATTTAGCAAGCAAAACTAAAGGCACACGTTGAAAATTAAATATCCCATTGTCATGACAATAATCTATGTGTACCTTGCTGAGAAGTAATTAAGAGTGAAAGTTAGAAGCACTCTTACGTAGCAATGGTTGACATAGTAATAGGAGGATCGGAAATAATGTACACCATGCACAATTATCAACTGATAAAGCGATAAAAGTAGTGGGAGAAAGCCTGCAAAGAGTGCAAAATATGTTTAATTATAGAGTGAAGCTCAATGATGCACTGCGATGGAAAACAAAAAAATCGTGAAAACAAACTTCTAAACGGAAGTCAATTATTACAGTACCATAGGATGAAGGAACATAATTATTACTGCATAACTGAATAAAATCAAAAACTTGACTGATTCTAAAAATTTGGATGGGAGAAGAGAAAACTCAGCAAGTTGAACAACTTCCATCTTGACCCGAAGAATTCAGCAGTCAACGAATTTGATTTGTAGTTCAAAATATTGAGCTAATCGAATGTAAACATAGGATTTACTCAGTGATTCTGTACTGATAGTTTTGATTACATATAAGTTATATATATTGAAGGATTTTATGTAGCAGAAATAAAATCTCTGAGAAATATTTACAGCATCAACTGCTATAAACAATAAAACAAAGATTATAAAAAACTGAAAATGGTTTACAATCGTGAAACTTTATCTGAGATATTTTCATTTTACAATGCGGGAATTTCTGGAAATAATTTTCGTTTTTAGCGCCCTGCAAGAGGGCAAACGTGACCTTTTGCGCGAGTTCTCTACTAGCGTAATATAAGCAAACAATGAGCTGGGAGCAATTTCTTGAGGTATAAATTTTCTTGTTAAGGATATTACAGATTTCGAAATGAAAAATTAATTTTTGAATTACAATTTCCATAGCTCAAATCAATACCAAAGTAAGCAAGCCGAACACAACTCTGATCTCGATGCTGAGATCTGTTTCACAGACCTATTAAGTGTGAAAAGAAACACAAACCGATAATACTGACAAGTATGAATCAATTAACCACCTATACTATGCCGTGACCTTTTCCATACTTCTAATTCCGTCATCCGTCAGAAGTAAGCAAACTCAATGGCTGCAACAATGTGGAGAGTTTTCCACAACGATTGCTCAATGTGCAAATTCAGAACCCATCGATTATTGTGTTGTTATGAATAAGTACTGAAGCAGACGAAAAGAAAAAATGCTACTCTTAAGATTCAGGTGAGTATAAAGTATTATTGACGTTGATGCCATCGTTAATGTTCCTAAAATATTCACACTATAGGTTTCAGCTGCTGCTGACATTTCCAAATTCATTTCAACATCAGAAGTTTATTTTTACTTTTCTTGTAAGAAATTTGTTTCAAGTTTAATTATTTCAATAAGTTTCGGAATTTGTAATTAGGCAGCTAGAACATTAACAACGTAGGATTTTTAACAACCTTCACGTGCTTGTTGATTTGCATCAACTCTTTAGTATAAACTAACTTCCGTATAGCATTCAGTCACATTTTGAATTTTTTCCTACTTCCTTAAAAGTGTTTTCTTTGTCTGGGTTCAGTGCAAGGTTACTTAACTATATGCATTTGATTTTCAGGTCACTACGAATCATTGTATACTTTTCAAAGTGTTATTAGTTACTGTGACGTACTCAGACGATATCTGCAAGTAGTCAATTAGTTTATTCTATTAAATGGGATTAGTAATTTGTGTGAATAATCAGAATAAAGCGTGATGAAGAAGCAAGTTTCTAGCAGTTGAAGATGACATTTCAGTCGGAAATTATGGCTTTGAAGCCGAAATTTGGTGATAAATCAATGTTTGGATAAATGTTCAATTATTTTGAAACCGATATTTAAAGCGATAAACAGAAATTATTAAACAGTTAAATATTTGGCTTGATTATATCTTTATTTTCTTGATTTTTGTGTAATGTAAAGTTAAAAAGCAAAGCCAAAAGTTACGTAATACCAAAATTAACTCAGTAAGTAAATTAGTTTTTTAGAATACAAGCATTTTAGTTTTAGCACTCATCTTATTTCAGTTTTTCTAACTCCTAGAAACTGCTTTGTACTACTATTATGAAGTATTTTAATATTTTATTACCCGCATGGTTTGCATAAAATAGTGATATATCATGAGTTTTTCTTGTAGTTCAACTCAGTTTTTTTTTCAGATTAAATTATGGAGGGTTCAACATCGTATGCATCATCTGACAGTGATATAACAAATACTTCACGGGAATCGGAAACCGTATATTTTTTAATATATTCCCTAATGTGAATGACTTTTTAAATGTCTGACTAAAGCGAATTAATAAAATTTTTTGCAGGTACTAAATATTTCGTGTTATAATATCAAAGTCTTGTTCAAAATAGTTTGTATAGATTTCTGTTTGACGATGTTCAAATTCAGATCAACGAAATATGCAATACAAGAACACCAGCTTCAGGTAGTAATACCTCATCCTTTGTGAACGAGGCTCCAAGTCCTTTAGGACATTTGGACCCACACAGGTCTGCTGAATATTCATGTCATCTGAATTTTTATTCAATTTTAAATGGGATGAAAACTTCTGCTTTATCATTACGCTTTTAATTGCAAATTAAGAATTTGGTATTCACTTAACTTTAGGCTACTAAATTTTCTCTATGTGATTGGAACATCATGCTGCAGAATTTTTCGGTTAATGATTTTAGATTGAGGGATATGGTGGTAGATAAGCAAACAATGTGTTTAGCTCAAATTGAATCGCCTTATAAGCATCCTGTAAGTCTATACTTGTAGTTTACATTCTGTAGTGGTAAGTATATTATAATCGTAATGTATGTTAGTTGTTAAATTTTTCTAACGTGTCTCAGTTTTTGATTGGTTTTTATGACATCCATGTTTGTCTTGTTCCTTGATATATTTTTAGCTTTCTAGAGTTTTTCTGTTCCTGGAATCACGAAAAAAGTATCTGATAATAACTTTAATGATAATAGTAATAAATGATTCGAGCACTGCAGTACTGGACACCTTCACCAGCTGGACCTTCGCAATCACCGTCAAATATACATGCAGTCAATTCCTGTTCTCCAGTGACACAGATCAGGCCTCCTTCTAGATTACCAGGTGGAAAAGTTGAAAAACCGTGAAATTTTGTGAATTTTGCATTGTTTAGCTCTGCATTTGTCTGACTCTTGATATCTAAATTAAATTCAGAACTTGACATCTAAAGTCCTATGTCTTGTTTGCTAAACTGGTAACTTGGATTCAGCTTTGTTATCACCGAATACTCCACACACTCTCGTGCAACAGCAGCCGATGGGGATGTGTCTGTCAGGTTTGTCTCATCTCTTAAACATTATTTGCAAGTTACTATCATCTAACTTATATATTCTCCGTTTTATTGAAATTTGGATTCATTGCAGCTCGCAGTCCAATGGGAAGCCCGAGCAGTATGCATCCGCCACCATCACCATTTATAAGTAGGACATCTAATACCTCTCCTTCTTACATGCAGCCACCTCAAACTCCATTACATTATCAACCAAATTTGCATAGTTCAGCATCAGGTTAGTTTATGTGTACTATATGTCCTGTTATATTCATTTATCTGTTAGGTTAATATTCTTAGTTTATCGATCTTTTTGAGGGTTTTAACGGATCGATAAAAGTTGAGCGTTTGAAATTTTACCATCTGCTTTTAACTTCCTTCTTGGTCATTTGAAGCGAGCATCACATTACGAGTATTAATATAGAGTTTTCTAGCGCATAGTATAATAGAACTTTACTGCAGTATATCACTGCAGTAAAATTCAGTTATAACTATAAATCAATCATTAAATGGATCGGATAGTTTTGAAAGTTTAGTTTATTTAACTTTCAGGAAATGTAGTACCACCAGCTGGTCACGTAGTTCCTCCCTCACCTTCTTCGCCATATTCTCAACGAATGACAACAATGGGCCCACCTCAACAACAGTATTCTTGTCATACTCAAATGCCACAGCCTCAGTGGTCCACAGGTCAACAAACTCAGGTCATATTTAGATTGTTTAGTTCACCGGGAGAATTGTTTTCAATATATTTTCGGTCTTTTCGATTTCAACAATTTCTAAAGTTATCGTGTGCACTTTACAGCATTTTGGTTCAGGACCAGTACACCGAGTAATGATGCACCGAGTCCCTTATCCAAGTAAGTTATTCAATTCATTTATCAGATTCTATCCAGTCCTAATAATTCACTAATTGTTGTTTTATTTTTTTAACTCTGTGTATACGTCAATTGTATACTTTTTCTGTTGCTATGGCAGTTGAAATTTCTGTTGCATATATTTTCGGTGAATTTAACAATATAGTGTCAGAAATTGTTTGTTTATATATGTATAGATTAAAATATCCGAAGAAAAGTTTTCATTTGTTGTGCAGTTTTAATATCACAGTGATCAATCTATAGATCTGTAAGAAATAAGACATTAGAGATTTTTAAAATTTAAGAAAATTTAACCATTTTGTTGAATGGTTGATACCAGTCTTAAAATTGATTATTGTTGTTTGATTAATTCTAGTGAGTTTAATACTAATCTTCAATATGATTATTCATAGCAATAAACAAATAAAGGTGGAGAATCAGCGTGGAATTTTCGCAAGATTCAAGCTCATAAATTCTGTTCTTAATTCTAAAGTAATGAGTTTCCGACATCATTGGTATCAGTGTGATGTTAGCACTTACTTATTAATAGGAATTTTCATAAAATTCAATTGTAAAATTAGTTTTAAGAATATTTTATATTTGGTCATCGTGGAAATATAATTTTGTTGGGTAGTATGGTCTTTTCGTGCATAAAATTGGTGAATGAAATGGAAACCAGATAAACGAACAAGATCTTGTAGAGTTTTGCTTTTCAACCTTTATTTTTTGATTTCGTATGATTTATTAAAGAGGGTTTGTTGGCACCCATTAATGATAAAATTTAATCACCAGATCGGACATGATAAAGACTTCATTTTGCCTCCTCTAAATTTCAAGAGTTTTTTTTTCTAGTATTCATGAATTGCTGTAATGAAGTACCTTTCACTTTTCATTTACAACATATATATATATATATGTATATGAAATCTAAAACTGATATTTACAGTGCAGGATGAATTTTCAAGCTGTATTAATAGTAACCGATGGTAATATGATTTTGAGTTTCAGTTTATTTTATTGCTTAAGGATGGTGGGAATTATGTGCTTCTTTGCTACATTTTGAGTGCCTGATCACAGTATGCAATCAACTTTTATTCTCCGTGTTATTCAGGAATTTGCTGCAAATTGTAACTTGTAAAACCTACAGTTTAAGGCATGAAAGTATGGTGGAAGAGGAGGAAAGTTTTAAATAGAATAATTGATGTGGGTAAGATAATGTCGAAATCAAGCAGATGTAGATGAGAAACTTTGTTTGTTAAAATTATGGCTTCACTTACTAAAGAAAAGACAACCTATTTTTATCGCGCTACTTCGTTTCAAGCAAAAAGTAGATATTATTCGTTTTTGCTTAGATTGTGTTGTTTGTTGGATAACGAGCAGCAGAGCATGTGGAGCCTACCTCGGTAGAAAGTATTCTAGGAGGAATTTTTTGATGCATAATTTGCTACGATAAAAATCATTTATTTGTTTCCTGTCTAAGTCTTTGCTATAACAAATGTTGGAAAATTCATTAAAAGTGACTTTCAGTCTTATAATTCTTTGGATGTAGCACTAACAATTTTCTTTTCACTATATAGCTTTTGGTTTTCAACAAAGACTTATAAGATATTTTTTGTAGGTTAAAATTCATGAGCACGAGTTTGGTACGGATAATGCGAAATTTTGAAAATTGTACATTTTGTTTTGGATCTTATTTGTATTAGAAAGGTATTGATAAAATATACTAAGGTTTGCTAGTAAGAAAATAGCAAATAGTAGTTTTTGATCATTTGATAATGTTATTTTCAATTTAGACGTTGATATTGTGTTATAATTCTTTCCATTTTCTTAATAGCAGACCTTAGCACATCTAAATTGCCCGCAATCTTTAGTTTCCACTCTTATCAGCTCTTTCTCTCTTATCACATCCAGCATTGATATTTCACTGATAATCATAGCAGCACTTACATCATTATGAGATTTTCCACTTTTTCATGCACGAAAAAACTTTTTATCACAAATAATGGTTCATTCTCATTTTCTTCTCATTTTTTATCTTGAATTCTCGTTGCTAATTCTTTGTTAGCTCAGCAACATCCTTAACACCTGTGTGAAATGCTAACGCTACATCTGCTAAGTAATAGTATGCATCTGTTACCTATTTGATTGTATTCACCATAAAATGGTGCCACAAAATTGTTGCAACAAGTAACCACCAAAAGCTACAATTATTTCATTCATTGATGAAATTAAATTTTGCTAGGAAAGATAATTCTTTCACTGATCACCTAATTATTAATTATAGTATTTGACCTGTGGAGGCATATAAATATGCGCTATTGAGTACTTTATGTCTCCTTTCACTTAACACCATACATTTGAACTCCTTGTACACAGTACGAATTATTTATATACGACACGAAAACAGATCTGATGACCTTATTTTAGCACTCTATCTATTGACCTCTTTATTATAGTTAAGCAGATAGGCAATATATTGAGTTCTTGAGATTAGACCATTAAACTTTTTAACTAATCTGTAAATTTTTCTTCCATATTTCACTCTCTTGAAAATACCATTGCAGAAAGTGTGCAAAAACGTCATTATTTTCCTTTTTTTTCTTTTCATGACTTATCAAAAAGTAAATCTGATCTGTTCAATTATGACGGAGATCATCGTATTTAAATTATTCTAGAAAACGGTACATAAATTTTATCTTTACTGGGAAATTAAATGTTTTTAGACGTTTCTGCGCTTTGCGAATTGTTTAATAATTGCGGACTTTCATTTTATTTCTGATGGGTAGTTTTTTTTGCTTGTTTTTAAGTTGTTATTTGAAGCTAATTTTAATTTTCCTTCAAATAGCTGCACACTGTACTGCTCAATATTTTTTGATAGAGCCATTGTTCGAAGGAGACTTATTTGCAAAAGATTCTCCTTGAACTTCTGATATTGCTTGAAGTATGTGAATCTTGCTAGTATTGGTAATGTCATTTGCAGAAATTCTTGTTAAAGTCATTTGTACGGATTTGTAACCGAGTATTGCCATATAAAAGCATATATTGTTTCATAAGTTTTTCATTCAGCAGACTTTTATTCCTTGTTTGCACCAATTCATTGCTTATTTAGTTAAAATATTTATTCTGTGATTTTGCACAGTATTATTGTACTCCTAACTATGATTAATTTCTTTGGGTATAAAATGTGTTAGTATATATAAGAAATTATACCTTCAATCTGCTCTATATTTGTTTGGAATGCAAATGCCTGAACTAGTCAAGTTCGCCCAACGTTTTCAGCAGATTATTTCCATTTTCGTAACATTGAAGTAAGAGGAAAAAAGAATAAGCGAAATGAAAAATAAACAATACATTTATTGACATAAAAGTTGATGTCTTGATTTGATTGACACCAGCGTACCCTGCAACCACTATATTTCAAATTCTTAAAATTATCGTGCTTTTACTTGTCACTATGATCCATATGTGTGTTTTGACGTAAATTTTGATGATTTTCCCAATGACTCGAGTTGTGTTCACATCTTAAGTTGTTTGACTAACGCATGTGTTTACAATTATATCATTTATTATTTGTTCTTTTTTTGTTCCATAGTCTAGTCATCACCACGGACTCGAAAAATTATCATTCATTCCAAAATTTTTTAGATGCCAAAGATTTTTACTTTATTGCAATCAACTGATACAGAAATTTTCAGATTATCCTCCTGGTATGTCGCATCTGCAAACGCCATCCAGTCAGTCCTCTCCATCACCTGTTGCTTATGCATCAGGAGTTTCTGGTGGTGCACCCAGTACACCGACACAGCGAACTCCCATGTATCCTCAAACACCAATTGCTACTTCTCAACCTCATCCATCTAGACCACAACCTTCGCAGTACCCACCACCGTCTTGCTATCAACCAAAAGGACAACAGCATATGCAGTATCCTGTACAGTCTCCTGTTTTTCGGCAACAGGTTTTTTTTTTTCATCACTTTTCTCTATGAATTATTTGTCTGCAAGTTTATTTCGTGGCTTTAATATATTGGTGATTTAGTTGCTGTTTAGTATTCTGTTTAATGCATTGCTTGAAAGCAGTGTATGGAACTCGGCAAAGGAGCCTTATTCTGCAAACAAATTTACTTGAAGAAATATGGTTATATCATAATAATGAATGAGAAATTAGGTATAGTTTGTAGGTAAAGGGTCAGCCTGTTGTTTGTTCAAATGAAGTCAGAACAAAATTATTTACGCCAATTTTAATTTTTATTTTTAGATGTTCTTTTTGCATTAATTTGGTTGTTTCAGAGCAGTAGAATCAGTTATTGTTGTTTCATTCACACTATTTCTATGACATAGGCATTTATTCTGTTTAAGGTTATGCAATTTGGTGCCCAAGTATATTAATTATTGACCAACTGTTGTTGATAATAATGATAGCACTGTAGAACAATAATAGGAAATACTGTTTTCTACTCTATGCTGCAGTTTGAATAAATTTCAGCAGCCTCAATCGGTGTCAGTTCGAACCTACCTTGGCAACCAACCATCCTCAATGCCTGCATCCCAATCTTATAGTTAGTTTCTTTATTCACATTTTTCTTCGTGCACTTTTTTTTCAGCCAATTTCTCAGTCATTTCAATTAAATTATACGTCTAATATAATATTTTATAGTGAACATTATTAATATTATTATTATCGTTGTTCCGTAATTGTGAAGTAGTGCGTGTATGTGATTGAAGATATCATTGACATATATTAAATTATATGGTCAATTTTTTATAGTACTACTACCCCCAATCTGCTAATGTAAAAAATTATGAAAAAAAACTTTTATAAGATAATATTCGAGCACATATTGTTAAAAAACTTCATTGGGGGTGCCATAAAGTTGGTGAGTTACATGTAACTTTACATTTAACCCATCGACATATTTGACGACGCAAGATCTTTGCTGAATGTTTTTGTAACTTTGCCGTGTTTATTTACTTCAAAAAATAGTAGCAGATTAAATACTGCAGAGGCATGAATACTTGAATAATTCGTGAATAAAAGAATCTGTAATGCTAGTATGCACAGGGTCTTCATTTTAATCAGGTTCTCCGTCCATTGTCTTGTTCGCTTTCTAAATTACTAATGAGCAATTGCATATTTATTCGCATGAGCTGCTCATAGCATCTTTACTTGAAAAGTTAATTTACATTTAGCGAACTGAAAGAATATTTCAATATTTTCGTGTCTTGCGTGTTTACACATTCACTTCATTTCGTTCATTAAATCATGCCAGTATTTCAGTCAAGTTTTATATTGAAGTAGTAATGCAGTTAATTGTAAATTGAGAATATATATATTCAATTTCGTTTTCAATGCATAGTTCATAAAAAATGATCTGTCACAGTGCAAAAGTTTTGAATCACGTTTTACTTGCCATCATGTGTTGGTGCGTTGCTCGTTATTCTTAAAGTGCTGTTTCATATACGTTATATGCTGTGTAGAAATTTGCTGGAAAGCACTGGAAACATGCATATCTACCAGTCAAACAAATAACAAAAACCTACCTACCTATTTTTGACATGTCAGTCATCCGTAAAAAATGAATTGCTCTCTTTCGTTTTTGTTATTTCACGACAGTTATAATGAATGTTTGAAGAGGATCTGTACTGGTTCTGTTTGCTATCTTCTGTAAAGTTTTGAATCTGACCTTAATATATGTGAAACATTTGTTACAGAATGAGTGAGTGAGTAAGTATTCGTGTGAAATTGATGCTTGCCTTAAGGAAGCAGTTGAACATATCTCCCGTAAAAAGAATAAGTAATCTGATTTTCCCTTATATTTGTTGAAGTATGAATGAACAGTTGCTTATTTGACAGGAGTGGAAAGAAGTATTGCCTTCAGTACTTATAAATCACGCATATTAGCTATGGCAGTCACTTGTTAAACTTTTTCAAAATATACTTCTCTCCTTTTTAGACATATAAGTTTGCTAATGAGAACGTTGTGTAGCTTTTTTATTTTTATGGTGAAAATATCCAATTTAATCTTATATTTTTGCATACATAGCTCAACGGAGACAAAAGCAGCAGCACTTATTTTAACAGCTTGATATTGAGCACTGAAGAGGTAGTAATACTCGCTCTGAGTGCTCATTACATTAGCTTATTCGTAATTCAGTTCAAAGATGTAAGGTGTCTATTTCCGTCAAGATATCGAAATATCTTTAAAATCATTCGTTGGCTTTAATTGGCATATATAGGATAGGATAAAATAGGATAGGGTCTTTTCCTGTTAGCAGTTTAATCCAGCTTGAATGCATATAGCTTGCATGGAGTATTACATCCTGGTCAGCTGAAATGTTAATTTTGAAAGCGTGCATCGTTCATTCTATTTACTCTGAAAATTGGGATAAACTACGAGACATGAGTCAGTTAATATCAGGCTATCTACTAGTCAGAGACTACATTTGTCTCACATCGAATTTCATGTTTAACCAGTAAAGCCGATCACAAATGTACACCCATATACTATTCTATTTATATCGCATGTTGTTACATGCTTCTTCGGTCGGTTTGCTCCCAAGAGTTATATTAGATTACTTCTTTGCATAGTGAGTAAAAGCATTTGGTATACTCGGCAACTTTGAAATTTTCATCAGTTCTGTACTAAGTTATTGCATTTTCCCTGTTTATCGTGTGTGTAGTAGGTGATATCGGTCACAATCAATTGGTTTGAGATCGATGCTGCTATATAGATCTACATACATATTACATATTTGATGTAGGCATTTGTTTCATGTCTGTATCTCATATTTTGCCAGAAACATCTGTGATGCGGAATGAATGAAGTAAAAGTTAATTCATTTTGTATTTTGAAATTATTGAGACTTTGAAGATCTAAGTTCAAGGGAGAGATAGGTCGTTACTCACGAAGACCAGTTTTTGTGTTGATCTAAGTCGAATTTTCTCATTAATGCAGCTCAGCAAGTATTGCTTGATATTAATATGTTTGTGCCTAGCATTTTATAAAAAGATGATTGGAATATATTTGTGCTTTGCGTATAATTTGAAAGTAAAGAGAATTGTTGGAAGGAAGTGTCGCAAAAAGTGACATTAAACGGGTTTTAGAATAGAATTATACGATGAATTATTGCTTTGATAACTGCTGTAAACCACATCTAGAAACTACTATTGAGCACTTATTATTCTATCAGACGTTTACTATATAAATCAATTTTTGAAGAGATTTCAGAGAGCAGTATTATTTTTTAGGCTTATTAAATAATAGTAATAATAATGTTATTAATTATTATAGGATCACTTGCACTGTTATTATCACTGACAATAATAAGTTAACCGTTTCCTACAGCAGCAATAATAATAATTACCAGCTGTTATAAAAAAATGACTGATCAGTCTATTCATCAGAAGACGTTGTGCTTAGTGGAGAAACTACACCGGAAGCATTAATAATGATAGTACTAGTAAGGTGATAGGTTGGAGGTTGCAGACTATTTGCTTTTAAGACTGACCTTTTCATGGTACAAGTACGGGTGTAACGGTTGAGCATTTTTCGTAGCTGATATTTAATTGCATTCTATCTTTTGCCAATTAAATTATTTGCTCTATTTAGTATCAATTTTTGAAAAAAAACAGAGGAGAGTGTATATACGATGTGTGTGTAGCTTATGTATGTATACTTGTGTAGTGCAGTGTATACAAAGGAACAGCTGATTTGGAATGGCTGCTAGTCCAGGAAGGTGACAAGAAGAAAAATGACTAACATTTCTAGCAGTGATTTCAAAATGGCTATCATGTTTATAAAGGAAATGAGATGAAGACAGATGAGTGGATGAATGTATACATGAGTTGCTAGTCTACCCCGGGGTTTCAGAAATCTATCAACTGCAACATTTTATTTCGGAAGGAGTTCGTTGGTTAGTTGGGTTAGCGATAAGGATAGACTGGAGAAGTGGTTGTTTTAATCCTCTCATTATTATATTCATTGTTGGGTTGGCAGGAGGAAAATGACCTGAGCAATAAATAATAATCAGGCAATTCAATGCCATTCATTCGATAACATTGAGGAGGAAGTAGTAGTTGTAGTGCGATTGAGAGGAGGGAAGAACGAAGTGATTATGAACAAAATAGGCGTTTGCCAAAGAGGTGCTGGAAATTGCGGTTACATACATTATATGAAATCTAATCAAATAATTGATTTGATATATACATAATGTTGGAGTAAAGGTTGAGCTGACATAGCGTAAGTTGCAAATTTCTCGTCATATCTTGCATCCGTTTGCTACATTATGATCATTTATGTAAATGAGGGGGATTAAATTGTTGCTTGCATGAAAAACATTTTTATGAACTCTGATTATGAATAGGTCAGTTAATAAAACAAGTTGATAAGTAGTAACGATAAAAAAGGAGTTATTTAATGTTTCGATAATTTACACTCAGTCAATAAGGGTCATTAAACGAAAGATTCGGTGAAGAAGGATCATTAGTGTATGCTTTATCATCATCATCTCCATGGCCTGTTTATACCTGAAAGGATTATGAGGCCTGGAGGCCACCTGCATTGCATGGCACAGGTCTTCCTTCCTTCCTCTGCTCCACTCATTGCTAGTTAGTTAGTAGCTGCTGCTACTGCTGCAGCTGCGTATTGTTGCTGTTCCCAGTCATCTATATTTTTTAATTTAATTCATTGACTTGACTTAGCAATGTCCTGGCCTACTATAGCAGTTACTGCAACTGCTATATTTTCATTCTACCATTCATTCATCATCAACTTTTCACTTTTTTATCTTTAAAGCAAGTTGGATGACTTGTTTTTCATTTATGCTCTTCATTTCATTTCATCTACATAGTTTTGGCTCATCATAATTTGACACTTTTTGTATATATGCATATGTTGCTAGTTAGAGTAGTTGCTGTTTGCTTTGTTTGGATATGAGCTTTTTAGAACAAAAGATTTACGGAAACAAGTGTTTGTTTTTAGTGTAAGCTCATTTTTTTGAAAGACAAGTATAACCTGTAATTCTAATTGCTCTGCACAGTCATATTTTCCTATCCACATGACGTTAATTCTGGAAAAGACAGACAGTTGGTTGTTTCTGATAGAAAAATATTGTTGCTTTCAGCTGCCGCAATTGCCCAAAAAACAACGAGTCTTTCGGTATTAGTGTATGGATAGGTGGAATTAATTGTCTCGCTCATCTCTTGTCATCATTTCTGTATAATTCAGCAACTGATTACGAGCTTTTTCTCAAGATTATTCTTGGTTGTCATTGAGCATTAACCAGCTAACGAAGAAGGAATGAGTAAATCAAAGCGTTGAAGGTAGTATTTGAGTGGAACAAAGTGAGTTGCTCTTTCTCTCGCAATTTATACGCTTCACTTATCACTGTTTGAGCGTCTTTTCGGTGACCCATTAAAGAGATGCTTGGCTCACCCTACATCTTTTATGATCAAAAAGATTCTGATGCCTGTGGTGCTTCTGGAGCTATTATTCCTACTGTTGATGCTGAGTGTTGTGAATTGAAAGAAGAAAAAGGGAACTTTGCTGATTGTCATCAAATATCATCACGAACAGCTGTTCTATCCCCTCACTCTAGTGGTGAAGATGGATGTGCAAATTTGGTTCAAACAGATCCTCGCTTAACTATTGAATTGGGATTTCTGTCGACTTCTTCAACGACCGCTAAAATAATGCATGGTGATACTAATGACCATTTGGAAGCAGCAAACGGATCAGGTGTGGGTCCAGAACTATCTCAGATGGTTGGACGTCACCATGATCAGGAAGACGAAGAGGAGGAAATTTTAGCATTACCGAGTCCGGAAACTCTCAATGACATGATCATGAAGATACAAAGTAAGTTGACACTCTTCCATTTAATTATTACGGTGTAATTTTCAAGCTAATTTACAAAAAACAAATACCTTATCTGTTAACTTTGCTCAAAATATTTTTCATCATCTACAGTAAACCACCATTTTATTGCATCTATATTGGGAGTGATGGTAATTAGCATTAGGCATGTAATATCTCTTCTTGATTAAGATCAAACTGGGAAAGGAAAAGAGGGATTGTGAAGTGCAGAGTGTTGCATTCAGTAATAACAAATTGGAGGGTTGATAGAGGAATTCTTAAGTAAATAACTCTTCACTCTTTTCTCGCCTTTAATGAAGTCTGCCTCTCATAAATAAATGTTCACTTCTTTTATAATTGTCGATGAACTCATGAAAATGAATTATTACATATGATGTTGATTGTGTCAGAAATGTTACGAAAAGCATTTCTTCGGTTCTTCTTGATCATTTATTTTCTTTTTTAAGTAATAAAGGTACATTAGTAAATGCTGTTCTGTACAATCATAATCAATGGGTAGTTAGTGAGTGTGCTCATTCCTTATGTCAGTGTGTAGATCTGTTAGTCATAATTTACCATTCATTGAATACAATGAGCTAGAGAGTTTTGATACAAAGTTGCTGACTTGGCTTAATATAAGCCAGAAAACAAGGCATTCATGCAAAGAGAATGCCTTGTTTCTTGCTTGGTAACAATAAGCCAAGGCTGACTTGTTTTTATTGCAAGACATGAATTGATGGAGTTTATGCATTTGGTTCACCCTTTCAAGGTTATAATCATTCGCATTTTTTCCTTACATGTATTCATTATTGTAATTATTCCTGGTTGTAATGGATGTCTAAATAACGTTCAGTGTGACAACGAGATTGGAATGATAAAAAGTAATAACTGGCATGAGATGAAATGACATCTGTTTGGTTTATATCACGGAGTGCCTAATGTGCGATTTGCTGACTTAAGTAGCAGTGCAAGCGAAATAGAAAGAGAAGAAAAGAGTTATGTGCAGATGCATCTAAAGGTCACTGTAGTATGACAGTGGGAAGATGTGACATCTGTTCTCAGTTAAACGATTAGCTCTGAATGCCAAGAGGTCGACTGTTTCTGTTGCTTAGGGATTTTCTCTGAAGTTTTTTCAAGTAGTTCTAGAAAAACATGTCGTGCGGAAATTTGCAGTAGTATTTTTCGCACGCAGTTTCTCGCAGATGAGTCTTTAAGTTGATGTTGAATTAGTTCGGTAAAGGAAGATATATATTATCGTTGTTTAGGCATATTGCCTTAAAAAGTACTGTGAATGTACTGCAATGAGAGAACAAGTATTATGGAGAGAACAGTGTTGGCTGACTGTTTCAGTGATTTGCAAGAAGAATAGATAGATAGTGCAGAGTGAATAAATATTCAGGTTGATAATGAGTGAAATGATGAGGTAGGTGTGGTTTAAATAACAGCTTTGGTAAGTAACGAGGAGATAGACAGTTAGATACATAGATAGATAGATAGATGGATAGATAGATAGATAGATAGATAGATGGGATATGTAAGGGAAGGAGATGAATGGACGGGTGTTCATGCATCATTCATCCTCGTCATTTCATAACTTTATCTTTCTTGCAATTATTCAATTGAATTGAGCTTAGTTGGGCACTATGTGTAACACATTCATTATCTGTCTTTACTGCAAAACCTGTTTCAAATGAGGTGATAAGTGATCGTTATGTTGCAGATGTGTATGTGCGTACTGCCTTCCCGCCGATTAGCAATATTGCCGCCTTTTTATTGAACTATTTTGAATTTACTAATTTAGTACTTTTATTACGAAGTATTTTGCAATTTATTTGGAGGGAACTGATTATGGTAGTTTTGCTTATTAGATGAATAGTAATAAGTAGTAGGCAGATGGTGATGGTGATAGTTTGGAGATTAAAGACAAGTGGGGATGAGATGGGTAGTGAGGAGGTAGTGTGGGGTGTAGTGAAATGCTGCTATTAGGGGATGAGATGTAGACAGAGGGCATGAGACATGACCTTTTTGTGCAACAATCTGTATGTACTATGCAAGGTTACTTTGAAACGCAAATTCTTTCTTTTCTTTATCGTTCGCCATTATGCAAATTTTCATTGATGGTTGTTTTTTGGAACTGAGTTGAAAGCATGATATGATAGGTTCTAGTGTCGTGCGTGTAAGTCAACTCTTGGTATTTCTCTTTTTCTTAACGTACCTTCTGGAGTTTTTGGTTTTAAACGATACTGGCTGGTGTTTTTTTCTAGACGTCTGCGTAGACTGCAACATGTCGCTTCTGCTACATCATTAATTTTTGCATTCTACTCTTATTTGGTTTCAGCTTTTTGCACTACACCTTTCGTTCAGTTCACGATTTTCTTTTATAATCCTGCAAGCCTATAAAAAATGGCTCCATTAATTTTATTGGACTTTTTGCAGAACAAGTAGCATTAAAAAGAAGCGCACACTAACAAACATTGTGCTACTTGGTTGCAAAAAAACTTATTAAATTATAGATAAGGAAATTGATTGAAAAGTGAATTAAAGAGGTTTAATGAGATATCCTTGTAGAGCAAGAAAGTAATTGAAACGTAGTATGAAAGTGAGTAATTCAAGAGGAAAAGATGAGTATAGTTACCCTGCATGTGAAGGTGTGATACACTTGAGTGGTCGTCGTCATTTATCGAAGTATTGCTGAGTGAATGAATGAATAAATAAATAAATGATTGGCGGGATGTATAGGCAGATGGAGAGATAGACGAATGGATGAATGGCCATCGTCGTTGCTTTGTTTGAAATTTGCGCTTTTTTCGTTAAATATTTCAGCAATTTCGTATTCCGTTCATTTGAGTATTGCTCGTTTCTTTGTTTCGTTTGTGTTTCTGATATGCGTGTTATAGACGAAGGAAATGAGTGCACTTGTTCTAATGTGCGCTTATTTGTTGATAAGGATGTGAGGAAAGTGTAGAAAACCATTGTATTGTTAGTGATGTGATTAATAGAGATAGGTACTGGTGAAGGATAGGAGAAGAAAGGTTATTTTAGGCTTTAGTGTTTTCGACTGCAAAGATATCACATTGTGTCATGATGTGATATATTGGATGCTATAGTCAGTGATAAGGTTTCATAAATGAAATGGTTGATGTAGAAGCTGCATTTTAAATGTATGAAATATTTCTTTTGAGTAATTGTGAAAAGAGGACAATGAAAATGTATCCATCGAGTATGAAGTGGATGCTTGGATGGAAATGAGTAGTAGTGAAGTGATTAGGAAGGAAGAGTGAGCAGTAGTTAGCTTTTAGTGGTATGGCAGTGAAGGACGCTTGGATGATGGCTGGAAAGTAAGTACTGGCGTGTTCGGGAAAGAGATAGGCCTGCATAGTGGCGTTTCTGACTCGGTTCTGTCGCCTAAAGCCATTAACCAAGCAAGCCTTGTACTGCTGTTGCTGTTGGTTTCCCGTGTACTGATTCCACTTTAATGCTCTCTGCTGCACTGCACTGCACCATACTGCCATACACTACACTATAACTACACTCGATTCTTCATTTCTCGCTAGCTACTTTATTCCACTTTTTCATTAGCTAGTTGATTTAATTTCTCCATTACCATCAACAAATCAAAACTGTCCTCTTCTTTCTTGTTCATCAGCTTCTCACATCCATGCATCTTATTTTTTTCCTCTCAAGTATTTCACACCTTGCCATTATGGCTTGTCAGTTACTATGCTGTATTCTCTGCTTACATTATCTAATTAATGCATTTAATCTTTTAGTTGGCACTAATAATTAATTAATATTAATAGCATTCCGAGATCAATATTTTGCAAATTATATAAGCCAAAGTATATTGTTGATATCAAGAATGATTTTAAGCTTCTGAAATGTGTGTATGAGCTTTATTCTAGCAGGTAAAGAAATTTAAAAGTGAACAACAAAGTGACTGGTATAATTTTTTTAATAAGAATGAGCGAGCGCACATATACTTAGTGCAAAATATTATTCTCATTTTTCATTATTTTATATGGAAGGATTGGAAAAATGGCCATGTGTAGGTAGTTCCGTAGTTTGGCAAAGAGAAATGGGTAGATATAACCGAGTTCACATCGTAGGCGACCGACCCCCCGGAGTGTCCACTCCTCGCTTATTTTGTTATTTTATTAACCATTCTCGTTTTTGTTCCATCTTATATCTGATATGCAATATCAGCACGCACTTACTGTTTCTACTATTTGAACTTTTGTCAGAAAACTGTTACTGATATGATGTGTTTTAGACCAAGCATAAGTAGTATTATGAGCCATATCCTGGCTCATATCACACTAGTGGTGTTTATTTGATTCGTACGAAACAGTTTTTAAAATGAGTGATCTGAAGTTGATTTGATGGTGGCAGTGTTGGTTGTTGCATGCAGGAGAATAGTCAAGTCACATATGACCTCTTGACAGTTATTTTTGCACTGAAATAAAGTTATATTATCGTACATGACATGTTTTCGAGAATTGAGCTGGTATGAAGTAAAGTGTTCCTAGATATCATATATCTCTAATGCATATGCAACACAGTTCTCCGTCCTTAACAACCTTCCATTTGCTCTTTCCTCGTAATGTAACTAATGCTTGGTTAACTTACCTAGTATTCATTTCGAATTCCATTTGTAAAGCGGATAAGATCGAAATATGCTTTGAGGTTTCTTTTGGTTAGGAACTGAAGTTTTGCGCCAACATTTGAGTATTGCTGAGCCAATTATTTGTTTAGCTTGGATATGCAAAATTAGAAAACTCGAATTTTGAATCACTTTTGATGTCATGACGATTAAACAATTGTCAGCTAACATGCTAGGATGCTTACAGCGGTGGTTTTTCATTTTCATAGTCACTTTACTCCCTTACCTTCTCATTTTACTTCTCTATTGATACATAACTAACTAGCATTTTACTTCTCTAATTTGATATATGTTCTTCTTAGATGCAAATAAGCTTAGTTCAATACGGTTGCTAGTAACTACTGATGGAGTTGCATGCAAGAATTGACAGCATCATCTTTTCCTCCCTTTAATAATAGCTCCAATTTTTGAATTAGCATTTGGGAACAGGCACTAAAAAGTATCTGTCGGTTGTTTCAGAGTTTTCAACAAGTGTTTTATTAATTCATCACAGCTCATTGCTTTCGTAGACATCTATCCATCCGTAGTTTTGATTAGTTAGCTGGTTGGCAATAGTTACGGAAATCTTCCACTTCTTAGTATTTTATTTTATAATTATCTTCCTTTCCATTTTATTTTGTAATCACTTTGTGAAGCTCTGTTCTACACGTTGCTAATCCATTTGCTGTCCATTATGATCAGTATCGTTTTGAAATAATAGTCATCTATACTAGACTCATTTTCAGTTTGTGTAAACATATATCTCTATAGATTACTAGATTACCTAGTACTGTAGCTCGTTTGCATTTTATCCCTGAGTGCTATCCCTTTTTTCGCAAGCAAGGATTTGAAAATTGAGATATACTGAGGTCCTAGGAGCAAGATGTAATCATGTAATTTGGTCAGTCAGAAGGAATCTAAATGGTTTCCAGGAGCTCATGATAGTAAGATTAGTTGATTGCAGAATAATGTATAAAATGCTGAAATGATTCGGATTCAAAAATTGTGTATAAAAATTTACCCACTTCACTGTACACATTATCAGCTAAATATGCAATCTCATCAGCATTCATCTTTTAGTATGCATTTATTCCCTTTTTCTTGGTACTAAATGTAGAATGTTGAAAAAAAAATATGAAATTCATGCAAGTGTGTGACCTGGTATATTATGTGTATTATTGTTGTCCATGTTAACCTGACATATTTGTGAAGTGATTTTTTGCGTATTTGGACTATTTCCGAGCAAGTTAGTGACCAAGTAAGTACGCTTTTCGTCAACAACGAACTTGAGTTGAAAACGAAAAGGGAAGCAAGTTAAAGCATCTTTCTGTTTTAGAATTAATGTATTCTTCTTTCTGTCCGCAAATTCTCTGTTTAAGCTCTTGTCCTCTTGCATGGTTAATTTTATTGCCTTAGATGGCAGGCATTATGAACGTATTTTTTCCATCATAATATCATATTAGGATTGTCTTCATCAAAATAATGCACTTATGTTAGTGAACGAAGTCATTTTCTTATTTCATGAAAATTCTATCTCTCGCTATGAAATTGCTTGATATTTTCCATCAAATGATTAACTGAATATCGTCAAGTCTGTCAGAGAATTGTAATTACGACACGTATTTTTGCTTTTTATTTGAGAAAAGTATGACAAAAAGGTAAACAAACGTATTTTAGCGAAAGGTCGAAGTTATTATGATAAAACAGGTATATGTATATATTAAGAAAACACTCATATGGTTCCTCCGTGCATTCGTTACTGAAAAGAGTCAGATTAATTCGTAGAAAAATGAAAATATGGCATTTTCCACTCACAGCACAAGTTTATGAATTTTTTAATAAAATATTCATTAAGT